ACGTCAGGATCTCCAGTCTGTTGGTCCGGATCACATTCACATCAGACATCACCTCCGACACGAGGCTTTTTGCCTTTCCCGGTTTCATTCGTGTTGACACGTCGTGTGGGATTCATTAAAAACTGTTCAGCAGCAGTGAAACGCTGCAGAGGAAGCCACAGAGTCCAGTGAAGGGAAACGTCTCGCCCAGTTTGAGCGTGGATTCATCCTGCTGACTGACAGTTTGTCCCTGTGGGGCTCCTGTAGAGGCACTGTTCTGAGACCGCTTTGAGGGTGCAGTGCAGTGTGGGTAAACCTTTTGGTTTCTTATTTAGATCCACAAGGAGCACTGAAAGCAGCCAAGTGTTGGATTAACACCTGAGCTGCTGTGAAATCCAGCATCCAGGATGGGGGTTCGGCTCATTAGCATAGCGAGTGTTGTGTAATGCTCGCTGTGACACGAGGACAGAGTCTGAGAGGAAGCACAGAAATAGCCGGTCCACTTTCTTTCCAGAACATCCTCCAGCTCTGCTCTCAGAGGGACCAAACCTCTGTGAGGACACCAGGAGACGGATTATTATTTTGTGTTTTTACAGACGGTTAATAAATGTTTTGTTCCCGTGTAAAGTTTAATCTGCTGAGGGCCGACACTGCGTCCCACAGGGAGTGTTCTTCTTCTTCTCTGAACTTTACAGGTCCCAAATAAATAAGGTTTATTTTCTTACTCACGTTAGGGTTGCACTTGTGCACACTTCAACAGCGTGTGAGTGAAGAGAGAGAATCGAAAAGAAAACCGAGAAGAGGAGTGAAAGAAAAGAAGACGATTGGCTCGAAGGGGAACAGAGCAGAAACAGGAGCCTTCGACTTGTGTTTTTACAATAAGAATATCGCAAATAATATTGTGATTAATGTCACAATATCACATTTTGTTAATATCGTGCAACCCCATTTAACATTAAAGGAAACTTGCAGTTTATTTCAAACTGCCATATTTCCCATAAATGTGTCTGTTGTTGCTCCGTTGGTCGTGCCGACTCTCCTCTCTCCACCGCGCCTCTCAAGAAATAAGAATATCCTGCAAAAGTTAATTCAAAAAGTGAAACTTTCATAGATTCATCTGTGACTGTCTGCACAGTCTGAGAGTCTTATAATAAATAAATAAATCCATGTCAGAAACATTTAGGGCCGGATTTCCTAAAGGTCTGCGTGAGTAAAAACTTTATTTAACCAGGAAGTCCCTTGAGATTGAAATATCTTTTCCGAGGGAGACCTGGCCAAGTCGGCGCATCACTTACAATTTAAAAAGAAATACAGCATAGTCAAAACAAACAAACAAGCGTCACACGTAAAGGAAAGGAACAGGTCACATGTGGCAGTTACATCTTTGAGTTACAGGGCATTTTAACATGGCCTTAAATTCATTTAATGGGACTAGATCATTTAGATTAAGCAAGTTTTACAAGTTTTTCGAAGACCAGGGAGCAAAGTAAGAGAAGGTTTTTTTTTTGCCCCCCAGCTCAGTAAAAACCCTTTGAACCTGCTCAGAGAGCCACCTGGTGGAACACAGATGAAAACTGCTGGAATTCTGCTGAAGCACGTGGATCAGGTCCTGGCACCTACTTCCAGGAAAAACGCCAAAAAAACCCAAACAAAATAAATCGGTAATATCTCCTCAATCATCAGGCCTAGATGCATAATTCTGGTCTCCTTTGAAAGGTCAGAAGCTAAGGAATAAATCCATTGTACATTCACATATGTATTTTACTATTACAGACTACATGGAGATGAAATACAGAAAAATATATATATTTTCATCCTTGCCTGGAAAAAAAAAGCTATATTTTAATGCAATAAACCATCATAAGGTAGATTATAATGCACCTAAATATCTTCTAATACACCTGTAACTGTAAATCTGATGAAATGAAACTGATATACAACAGTTATTATAGAATCTTTCAAAAATATGACAGGCAAATGTTTTGTCCATATTTACTGTTTAAATGTTCACTTTTATTGGGAGTTATCTTCAAAACATTATTTCTCTCCATACAGCCACGTTCCAAATAACATAAAGCTTCCAAAACATTAAAATATTGATAAAAACGGTCAATATTCCTGTGACCTAAAGCACTCACACGCTTTACAGGCCACAGCTTGAGAACAGAACATCCTACAGGTCGCCAGCAGAGGCCGATAAACACCGCCTCCGCCAAAGCAAACTCTTCTTCTCTACTTCAATCTGATGACCGAAACAAAACTTAGCAGCTCAGCCGACCTCACCAAGATGGCGGCCTGCGAGGACGGTCTTTATTGACACAAAGGCCGCTGTTTTTTGGCGAAAAACAGCTAGAACAGCGAAAGTCCGGTACCACATGGTCAAGGAGATTACATAAGCATGCCGGCAGTTTACCCCACTTGGTCTTATACAGGAGATAGACTTAGTGACGGCCAGCCTGCCAGTTCATCAAGTGTCATACAATGATGAGTACGGGAGTCAGAGTTAGTTAAAAAGCGCAGAGCACTATGGTACACAGAATCTAAAAGGTGGTGAGCATGTAGACAACATCACCATATTCCAAAACACTTGGAAAGGTAACCTGCACAAGTGAATTTTTTCTGGCTGTCATGTTAAAACAAACCTCATTTCTAAAATAAAATCCAGCCTTAGTTTCAGCTTTTTACAATCTTTTCAACATAAACTTTGAAGAAAAGTTTGTCGTCCAGCCAAAAACCTAAATACTTATATGATGAAACGTTTTCAATTTAGTCCCCATTTAGTGTGTTAATAGTTATCTTATCTGGAGATTGGGAACGAGCCCTTGAAAATGTCATAAATTTGGTTTTCTTAGTATATAGCACTAACTTGAGGCCGTGTAGTGAGACTTGAAGGTGTTGAAAGGTTAACTGAGGGTCATTTATGGCCTGGTTCAGTGGAGGGGAAACCGAATATATCACTGTGTCATCCGCATAAAGTTGCAGTTTACCAGTTTGCACGTCCTTTCCGATATTATTTATGAATATAGAAAATAAAACGGGGGCTAAAATCGAACATTGAGGAACACCCTTGGAAATCTCTAAAAAGTCAGATGTAAGACCATCTATAGAAACACACTGCGTTCGTTCTGTAAGACAGACTGACTGCTGTGTTTCCGATTCCAATGTTACTTAATCTATTATAGCAATAGCTCATGATCAACAGAGTCAAATGCTTTGGACAGATCCACAAATAAGGCATTTTCAGCATTAAACGCTTAATTTCTGGAGACATTTTCTGCACCAATTTATGGTGGAAATGTCTTGATTTTTATAAAGGGAAGCACAAAATTCAGAATCTGACAATTCAGAAAATAAAAATGTAATAGAATATAATGCAGTAATCAGTAGGGTTACTTTTTTTGGACTTCTATTGACATTGCATCGCAGTAAAGGTGCACCGATCGATCGGTTACCAATCGTAATCGTCCGATAATGGCTTTAACTAGTG